GGTCATGGACCCTTGTCTGGGGTTTAATACTGGTTTTTGGGGGGGTACTGGGTTGTTGGGGGAGGGTACTGGTTTTGGGGGGGGAGGGGCTGTTTTGGGGGAGCCCCCTCAAAAACATCCCCCCCAGGCTCCTCAGCGCTGTGCAAATGGAAGCAACAAGAGGCAAGTGCTACTGGGGGCACTGGGATTGGCACCAAGATAGGCACTGGTGGCACTGGGATTGGCACTGGTGGTGGGATTGGCGCTGGTGGCACTGGGGGTGGCACCAGAATCAGCACTGGTGGAAGTGGAACTGGGACTGGCACTGGGATTGACACCAGCATCAGCACTGGTGGCACCGGGGGCACTGGGACCAGCACTAGCATCAGCACTGGTGGCACTGGGACCAGCACTGGCACTGGTATCAGCAGCAGTTCCTAGTGTTGTCACTGTCACCAGTATCAGCACTGTCACCAGTACTGGTATTGTCACCATGACTGGTACTGGTGCTGGCAGCAGTTCCTGGACATGACCTTTGTCACCAGTGTCACTGTCACCAGTGGCTCTGCCACCAGGGTCAGTGCTTGTCCCCAGTGCTGCTGGTGTCCCTGGCATGGGTGGTGTCCCCAGCACCCAGTGTCCCCCGTGCTGGCCTTGCCCCTGGCACTGGGCTTGTCCCCAGCCCTGCTGGTGTCACTGGTGCCGGGCAGTGTCCTCATGCTGGTGGTGTCCTGGGCACTGGTGATGCCCCAGCCCAGGTGACGTCTCCAGGCCCAGGTGACATCCCCAGCCCAGGTGACATCCCCAGGCCCAGGTGATGCCCCAGCCCAGGTGACATCCCCAGCCCAGGTGATGCCCCAGGCCCAGGTGTCCCCAGCCCAGGTGATACCCCAGGTCCAGGTGACATCCCCAGCCCAGGTGACATCCCCAGGCCCAGGTGACATCCCCAGGCCCAGGTGATGTCCCCAGGCCCAGATGATGCCCCAGCCCAGGTGACATCCCCAGGCCCAGGTGTCCCCAGGCTGTCCCCTCACAGGCAGACATTGATCTGCTGGCTCAGCTCCCTCTCCAGGTCCAGGATCAGGGCATCAAAGTCCTTCAGGTTGAGGCAGGACCCGAAGGGCCCCTCAGGCTCCTCGCCCAGCTCGGCCACCAAGAGGGTCCCTGGAGGGGGGGACCCTTCCCCTCTGTCCCCTGCAGCCCCCTCCCCATGGCCGGTGCCCCCGGGCAGCAGGGGCAGGGGGTGGGGGCAGATGCTCCAGTCCCCGGCGTAGCGGTTGCTGGGGGGGCTCTCGGGGCCGCGGGGCCG